GTACAAATAAAAAACACTGAAATCACCTGTATTCATATCACTCAGTGATAGCCAGTGTTAACACCTGGGTGTATAAAATGCCAAGCTATTTCTCTGCCTTTGTGTCTGTGGAGATGTGTACTTTGTTTCTCTCTCTCTCTGTTCCTTTTTTTCTTTTCAACAAGAAGGCATCATATTTTTGTAATTCTTTTGAACTAGAGTTGAGCATCAAAACTGTAAAGTTTAAAAATATGTATATATGCCTGGGCCCTACTCTATTCTTTAAGTGTCAGGGGCCCAAGCATATATATATATACTTCTTAAAATCTTTACTGGTTATTCAGAGAGGCATTTCTGGTTAAGAACCACTGTTGGAATAACACTGTCCAGCTTCTTTCTTTTCACATATGTCATGATTATGATCCTTTTTAGTGGTTTTATAATAGGGCCAGGACTAGGTAGGGTTAAGGAGAGTGAGGCCTGCACCCAGGGAGCAAAACTTATCGAGATGGCAAGAAAACGCCGTCATCAAGACAAATCATACTGTAATGCAGTACTTAAAAAACTCAAAATTCATGCGAAAAATCCAAATCTTAAATTGACAGTATCCAATTCAGCATTCGCCCAGTCTGGCTTCACCACCCTAACCCCGGTTTTCCGGTGGCAGTGGCTTCAAGTCCGGTTCTCAGCCTTGGCATATTGACATCCGGGCTGGATAATTTTTTGCTGTGGGGACCACCCTGTGCACTGTAGGGTGTTCAGCAGCACCCTTGCCCTCTACCATCTCGATGCCTGTAGCACACTCCCCCGGCACCTGCTTTGTCACACCCTCAGTTATCTCCAGATGCTGCCCAGTGGGGGGCAAAGTCTCCCAAGTTGAGAACCCCTGTGTAATACGTGGTTCAGTTTCAACGAATTGAAATTTGTTGCCTCTGTCGTGCGGAAAGATGCGTGCTGTTAAGCGGTAAACGTTGTGTTTATGCAGTCACTTAGCGTGTAAGACAGCTGATTCACTTGGAAGTGGTGTCTCTGTGGAGGTGGGCCTTTGAGGTTAATGAGTTACCAGCTCTGAGCTCAATTTGGGGAGTGAAGGGGGCCTATTGAAACAGGAATTCCTTCTCTTCAATAGTGTATTTTTACCAGTTGCAACCCATCCATCGTATCTGGTAACACGATGAGTGTTCGTAAGGGGTGATGTTTTCATTGCATTTGGAAAGAAAATGGATATTCACGGTGACTCGGCATTTAATTTCTGTATTACTGTTTCCTGAAATACAGGCTGGAGTTCTCATTGGGAAATGTCCCTGCCATGGATTATTAATGAGAAATGGAGGCCTGTTTTTTTTCACTGAATCTCCGTATCTCATTTGTTGGCTGGGCTGCCCTAGGATGACCAAAACATCACAAGGTGTGAGATATCCACCGAAGGGCCCAAGTCAGAGGCCTTTGTGTACGGAGATCTTGATTCTTCACCCAACTTCTGACCTCACGTGGGGCTATTTTGCCCTCCCTCCTTAAGAGGGCCAGTGGTTCCCCCCCAGGGAAAAAAGAGTTGTAACCTGTCTCTGTGGATACCACATCTGTTTTTATTTTCCCCTGGTATTTTTTAAGTAAGAAGAAATGTGTGTAGGTTAAAGGGCCTATGGGGAGGAGGCTAGAGATAAACACTGTACAATGTGAAACTCTTCCATATGGGGAATGTGAGGATGTTTGAGGACTGGGCCTCAATAGGAACACTAGCTGAGCTCCTTGTAATTACCAGTGCCTTCATGATATATGTGGATTGCCATGGGGTGTGGACAAGCCTTTTGTTTGCAAATTAAAAGAGAATTTCAGAATCAACGGTTCTGACCCCTCTTCCCTGAAACAGTAGGAAAGTGGGATAAGTATCAGTTTAAGAGAGAGAGAAATGAACGTGGAGATAGTAAACCAGTCTGCCTGTGGTGTTGGTCCAGTTCAGTCACCATCATTTTCTAGTTTGTTGTCAAATGGTTCCTTGATCTGAGAGTGAGGTCTTTGCAAAACTCTGGGCTGTTTCTCTTTTTTGCCTTGCCCTAGTGTGGTTTCACCTGGAATGCAAAACCCCAAAGCTCTGTGTTATCCCACATTTGAGATATGAGTGGAAATACTTGACTTCTGTAGACAGAATCAGATTGCTTATAAAATCCGAAGGTTTGTGGAAGATGCCCTGAACTCAGCCTTTCATTCAAATCCACTGTTACTAAAACTTGCCAGCCAGAGCAATTACTTTGTCAAAGGTCTTGTTATTGCTCCTAATGTTAAGTAATAATTTGGTCCAGGTGCTGGGGAATGTGGGCAAAAAAAATGAAGACATGCGTCCATGACTAGAACATAAATTATAGAGTTTAGAAAAAATGTTCTTGATTTAGTCTCTCCCGGAGAGGGAACCTTTCTGTAAATCTTCAGTCCTCGTTATAATTTTAAAGTTAAATTCTTTATGATTAAAAGCACTTGGCAAATAATGATTCATTTAAACTGTAGTTCTGATATATTACTCTAATTATTGTTACCATGCCGTGCCCTTTGGCCTGGAAGTGAAACTCGTGTCCTCTTGACACCAGAGGTTAACAGAGCAGGAAGCCAGGGCAATGTGTGTGCCTCCATGACCAGAATAATTTAGTAATTGTCTAATTACCTGAGGAGTATAATGCCACTGCTAAAAATAGTATTAAAAAATTAAATGAAAGTCGTTTTCTTGTTTCTCATAACCCATCTGTTCTCTATTTTGGGCAACCATGTGTTCATGGGTATGAAACGTGATTCATTCTAAAAGATCGGATGGCTTCTGGTCTGTTGGATAAAATATGTTTTTAATGGAACACAGCATTCAGTAACTTCACAAACATCTCCAGCTTCCGAGACTCAGTTGTAGAGGCAGGAAGACTATTGTAGGTCTTTTGTCCTAAACTGTGACTTAAAATCTGGAACTGATGTTGGTCAATTTTGATATTTATTTCTTCTTAGAAATGGAAAAAAAGTTCATGACAAATGAGGACTTCTAACCAGTATCTTAGGAATATTGAGTTGTTTGTTTGTTCAACAAATATCTCTTGCTAGTTACTACGGCCCTTGGTACTAGAATTCAATAGACAAGCTCTCTGTTCTCATGGTCTAACGGGAGAATTATCAGGTAAAGGATTCAGTTTTAGCCAGTGGAGACAATAACACACATGGTAATGTAGAAGCATGGCTCCCAGTGGGGTGGGCACACGGGGCAGCATGGATTAGGGGGCTCAGGGGAGGTGACTTTGAGGAGGAAACATTGAATGGAGACCTGAATGATGAGGTGGAGTGAGCTAGTTCTGCAGGGATGTGGGAAACAGTGTTCTAGGAAGTGGGTCCTGTAAGTGCAAAGGCCCTGAGGCAGGAAGGAGGTTGGACAGAGAGGCTAATCAGGTGGGTCATGGGAGGGCACCTGAGTGTTTTTTATTGAACACTAACTCATAGACTGTTGACAAGTGGTCTCTTTCTAGTGGTCTTAATTTTTTATTGTATTTTAAGGCAGTGACCCTTTATTCAAAGCTAGGCCTTCATGGTAGCCGGTGTGTAACACAGATGGGTATGGGGTTGCTTGTCCTCCACGTTTGATGGTGCTGAGTGGGTTTCTCGGGATTTCTCTACTCAGCACGTGGGGTGAAAACCACCCCCTAGCCCACTCCTCTCATTTGCGGGAAAAGGGCACATGGCACTTGCTCAAGGTCACACAGCTGTTCACACCCACCCGAGAATCAGGCTCAGATTTCTCAGCCTTCAGTACTCTTTTTACCATGTTGCTCAAAACCTTTTCCCCAACTTAACCCATTAGGAGGCCAAGCTGTGTTTTGAAAGGTATGAATGAAGGAACGGATGAGGGTTGTGTAAGCAACAGAACTGCTTCTTAGACAAGAGTTAGGGTCCATGGCCAGTGTGGAAGGCAAAGCTTGAGTACATTTAAGTTTACTCTTGAAAATCTACCCCCAGTGGACTTCTAGGTACCATTTTGCAGTGTGTCCAGCCAGCCAGGCTTCTTTCTGGTTGTTACTGATATGCTCCCTGGACCTGCCCTTGGTTGCTTGTTACCCCCTAGAGCCCCCGTCCATACTGTTGAATTCATTTTTTAAAAAAATTTATTTATTTTTGGCTGTGTTCGGTCTTCGTTGCTGCGCGTGGGCTTTTCTCTCTGGTTGCGGCGGGCGGGGGCTACTCTTCGTTGTGGTGCGTGAGCTTCTCCTTGCGGTGGCTTCTCTTGTTGTGGAGCACGGGCTCTAGGCACGTGGGCTTTAGTAGTTGTGGCACATGGGCTTGGTTGCTCCGCGGCATGTGGGATCTTCCTGGACCTGAGATCGAACCCGTGTCCCCTGCATTGGCAGGCGGATTCTTAACCACTGCGCCACCAGGGAAGTCCCCTGTCTTCAATTTTAAACTGAGAGGAATGTCCATTTAAAACAGCAGTTCTAAACTGGGCATGATTTTGGTCTCCATGGGCAATTGGCAACATCTGAAGACAGTTTTGTTCTCCTGTTGCAACTGGGGGTTGCGTCTGGCATCTAGTAGATGGAGGCCAGAGAAGCTGCTAGCCATCCCACTATGCACAGGACTCTCCCCCTGCCGCCAGCCCCAACGGAGAATTATCTCCCTCAAATGTCAGCAGTGCCGAGGTCCGGACGCCCTGGTCTGAAGCAGCAGCATCACTTGAAGTGTAATGGGGCCCCCACTCGGTCAGAGGCCCCCAGCACCACCCAAGGAAGGCACGTTCCCAAGTTCTCAGGTAGCATCACCCACATTCACTAAGCTGTCATTTTTTTCCTCTATTTATTTTGCATTTTTGTTTTTGGCTGAACGCCCATGACCGGATCCCTGACTTGCACGCCCTCATGGCAGTGTTACTGGAGACACCCCCAGAGTGACGTGTGTTAGGGCAGCTGAAAGAGAAGCAGCGACTCCGCAGGGTCGTTCTTCTTCCCTCTCGAGGTCCTTCCGTGTCTCTGGTCATCTTCCTCGTTGGTTTCCTCTTCTCCTAGCAATCCCAGGACCCGCCCGCTCAGAAGGGCCCCGCGCTCACCACCAAGGTGCGGCGGACCATGGGCACCCGCGTGCACGAAGCCGTCAAGGCCATCGCGCTGTGCCACAACGTCACCCCCGTGTACGAGTCCAGCGGTGTAACCGACCAGGCCGAGGCGGAGAAGCAGTACGAGGACTCCTGCCGCGTGTACCAGGCGTCCAGCCCGGACGAGGTAAGCCCCGGCATGCGGGATGCCCTGCCCATTTCCCACCTGCTCCAGGTGGGGCCGCCTGTCAGGGCAGCAGGATCCGGGACGATGCTGGGCCGCTAGGGAAACAGGCTGGCAAATGCCTGCAGCCCTTGATCTTCCTCTAGAAGGAGTAGCCTTGGACTTGAGATACATCCTGAGTTAGGAAGCAGCGAGAGATCTTGTTTGTGGTTCAGACGGGCAGCGCATAAGGGGCACAGGTCCCATGAAACCACTTTCCTTTTTTAAAAAACAGCTTAATTAGGATATAATACACATACCATACAATCGCCCGTGTGACAGATACATACAGGTCAGTGGTTTTTTTAAATAGTATATTCACGGAGTTATGCAACCATTACCACAGTCGATTTTAGAATCGATTTTTGTGACACTTTTGTCAACCCAAAAGGAAGCACTCCGTGCCTGTATTCCCATAGACTCCCACCCTCCCTCCCTCCAGCCTCTGGCAACCACTGACCTACTTTCTATCTCTGTAGATTTGCCTATTCTGGACATTTCATACAAATGGAAAGATACACACACATTTTGCATCTCACTTCTTTCACTTAGCATGTATTTTCAAGATTCATCCATGTGGTAGCATGTATCTATACTTCATGCCTTTTTATGGATGAACAATATTCCATTGAATGGATAATACTGTGTTTTGTTTATCCAGTCTTTGGTTGATGAACATTTGGACTGTTGATATATTTTCTATGCATATAATATATATATATATGTGTATTTTCTTTGGGGGGGGCTATTGTGCTATGAACACGTGTCCAGGTTTTTGCGCAGACATATGTGTTCATTTCTCTTGGTGTACGTGTAGGAGAGGGATTGCTGGGTCATGTTAAATTTATGTTTAGCCTTTTGAGAAACTGCCACACTGTTTTCTAAAGTGGCTGTACCGTTTTAAATTCCCACCTGCAAGGTATGAGGGCTCCAGTTTCTCTGCATCTTAGCCGACACTTGCCATCGTCCCTCCTTTTGATTCTTGCCGATCTAGTGAGTGTGAAGTGAAATCTCATTGTGGTTTTGATTTGTGTTTCTGATACCAAAGGTTAATAACGTTGATAACGTTGAGCATCTTTTTATGTGCTTATTGGCCCCTTTATGTATCTTCCTTGGAGAAATGTCTATCCAGGCCCTCTGCCCACTTTTAATTGTGTTATGTGTCTTTTTGTTATTGAGTTGTAAGAGTTCTTTATGTATTTGAGGTAAAAGCCTCCTGTCAGATATATTATTTCCAAATATTTTCTCCCATTCTATCTTTTTTTGTTTGTTTGTTTGCGGTATGCGGGCCTCTCATTGTTGTGGCCTCTCCCGTTGTGGAGCACAGGCTCCGGACGCGGATGTGCAGGCTCAGCGGCCATGGCTCATGGGCCTAGCCGCTCCGCGGCATGTGGGATCTTCCCAGACCGGGGCACGAACCCGTGTCCCCTGCATTGGCAGGCGGACTCTCAACCACTGCGCCACCAGGGAAGCCCCCATTCTATCTTTTATGTTCTTGATGGTGTCCTTTGAAACGTGGAAGTTTTAAATTTTGATGAAGTCTAGTAAGCCACATATTTTTGTATCTAAGCATCAACTCTTGCTAAAGCTGAAAGGATTCATGTAATTCTGTGTTCAAGAGCATAGGACCTGGTAATACAGTTGCCTGTGTAGTGTTTTTTTTAAGAAGCCCCTAATTGCTTTTTCTCTTAGGGTGCCATATGATAGGAACGCCTTTTGTGTAGGTGTAGGCAGAGAACTCCCTCGCCCAGCATGAAAATGGTATCATGTCCTTTGCCCCCTGACTTGAGTGTAGTTAAGACACAGTCCATGTTTTACTAGTCTGTTAACATTTTTTTTTATTTTTTTATTTTCCAGTCTTCCTTCCTTTCTTTTTTCTTTCCTTAAAAAAAAACTTTTATTCTGATTATGGAAGCAATTTTTTGTAGTGTGGAAAATTTGGAAATTTCAGAAGAATATAAAGAAGGAAATGGGTTATTTGCAACTTCACTCATAAAAGATAACAATAGGTAACTTCCCTTGAGTATTTGGTACACGTCAGGTCCCATTTGACGTACTGTGTATTATTCATTAAATCTTCCCAGCGACTAAGAGGTACTATGATTATCTCCATTTTCAGAAGAGAAAGGTCAGGGACAGAGAGATTAAATACTTAGCCTGAAGTTCCTAGTTTTTTTTTTTTTTTTTAAGAGTTCAAAGTATAGTGGCTTTTCTTTTCTCTTATTATTTTTTAATTGAAGTATAGTTGATTTACAATATTATATCAGTTTCAGGAGTACAACAGAGTGATTTGATATTTTTAGAGATTATATTCCATATAAAGTTATTATAAAATATTGGCTATATTCCCTGTGCTGTACATTACATTTTTATATCTTCCCTGGATTTTTTTTTTTTTAGACTTTTTAATTTTGAAGTACTTTCAGATTTTTGGAAAAGTTGTAAAATTAACACAAAGAAGTCCCCCTTATCCAAACTTTACTCAGATTCTTCAAATGTGAACACTTCTCTGCTTTTGCTTCATCTTCACCTTTGAAGAGTAAAAGCTTCAGGCATGATCCCCTTTTATTCCTAAATATTTCCTAAAAATACTTTCCTAAATATCTCCCTACAAAACAAGGTCATTTATCAGAATCAGGAAATCAACGTTGATACAGTACTGTTATGTGACTTGCAGATCTTATTAAAATTGCATCAACTGTCCCACTCACTTTTTTTTTTTTTTTTTTTACAAAAAAAGAAAAAAATATTTTCCCCAGATCAGTAACCAGTCCAGGAGTACACACCACGTTCAGTTGTACCGCCTCTGGTGTCTCTTTTATTTTTTAAATTTAATTTTTCTTTTTGGCCAAGCCGTGCAGCATGTGGGATCTTAGTTCCCCAACCAGGGGTCGAACCTACGTCCCCCTGCAGTGGAAGCTCGGAGTCATAACCACTGGACCATCTGGCGTTTCTATTAACCTGGCACAGTTCCTCAGCTCTCCTTGACCGTCACAGCCTTGACTCTGTTGAAGAATACAGGTTATCTGTTTTGTAGAATGTCCCTCAGTTTGTATTTCTCTGACATTTTCTTATGACGTTGACTCAGGTTATGCATTTCTGGCACTGTCCTCGGTGCAGGGTATCCGGAGACGCATGATGTTGGCGTGTCTAGGCCTCGGAGATGTTAACTTAGGTTTCTTGGCTAAGGTGGTGTCTCCCAGGTTTCCTCCTGGTAAAGTTGCCGTTTTCTGTGGCTGACTTACGTTACAGCACCAGTCCCCTAAGTGACAGGGTCAGGGCTTTAACCCAGGGAGTTTGTTTTCAGAGCCCAAACTCTTAATCCTTTTACTAAACCATTTTTCAGAAACCACTAAATATTAATTTTTATTAATTTGATATATAGCCCCTCCACTAGGTTTTCATGTATTTTTTTCGTAAAAAAATGAGCATTTTAATATAGTTATGGGTTTTGCCTATATTTGTTCTTTTTTCACTAATATTTTATCATACCTGTTTCTCAATTTTCTTGAACATTACACAGTTTTTCAGATTCACTGCCTACGGTATGGACCCTAATGTCTTCAACTGTTCTCATATTATTGGAATTTAGGTTATTTCTATTTTTGAGCAACAGTGTTTATAAACATTTGCAGTGAGTATCCTTACACTTGCTATTTCTAGAAATGGTGTGACGGGGTTCATTAATTCACCAGGTATTTTTGAGTGCCTCCCATGGGCCGGGCACTGTGGAGTCTACGTTAAACAAGGCAGCAGCTCACACCCCTTGGGGCGGCAGGAGTGAGACAGTTGCCTGAGCGGGTTCCTTATCCCCACTGTGTGTCTGTGACACGGGACCCACAGGAGGGTGTTGTGAGGCCCTTAGTATGTGGTCAGTAAATCCTGTGGGTCAAACTGAATGAGTATGTTTAAGGCTCATGACGTAAATTACCAGAGTGCTTCCCGGGATTTTTTTTTTTTTTTTAACCATTTTACTCTTCCACCAGTGTTGCAAGGACCCCCAGTTATGATGATGACGATGATGATTTTTGTTCATTTTAAGAAGGAGGGACGGGCTTCTTTGGTACGTGAAGTGTTTTGGAGGTCTGGACTCATCTGAGAATATCCGTGAACCGGTGGTTGACGTGATGTGCGGGCAGAGGTGGGGGGAGGGTGGCACAGTGAGAATCTTTTCCAAAGGTCAGAAATGGCAGGACACTTGGGGGTGTCTTTCCCTGCCCAGTCTCTTCTTCCTCCTTTTCTGGGGCAATGGAATGTGTCCCCTGGGAGACGAGTCCTCTTCTGCTTGGTGTTTGTGGAAGAGCTCAAGCTGTGAAGCCCAGTTCCTCTGTTGACCATTGATATTTGAACCAGGCTTTTTAGGGGTGAAAAATCTGGTAACCCTTGGCCAAATTCTGAGATGGGAATTGTGTGCAGAGAGAAGGGGGAGGTGGGGGATAGGTATGGGTGAGCCTACTGAGACTTGTGCCCTGGAACCAGAAGCTTGTCATATTTGTCACCGTGTCTTAACCAGGGTTAGTCTGCTTGATCTTGCCTTTCCGTTTCGGAATGGGAGGGTGATACCATTGAATGGTCCCTGTGAGAAAGGACCAGATTCTTGGTAGTTACGGACTGGGGACCAGTAGCTTGTGGGTATTTCATAGCATTTAAATTAAATGTTGGTGATCCCATCAGCACTTGTGCCTCTGGGCTCCGATTGGCTATTGACATGCATATGTGACGGTCTTTAATGCCTGTCCCACACCCCTGGTTCCCACTGAACTTTGATATATTTGTTTTAGGGCAGTGCGAAGATTTTTCCATGAAGGTAAATCTTCCATGGAATGCTTTGTGCTTTTCAGCTCCTTTTTGTTAAAGAGAAGAGCCCTTTATCTCTGCTGTTCATTAATTGCCTTTGGATTCAGATTTGTTTTGTTTTTCTAAGATTCTGAATAGCAGTTTGCTTTTTTTTAAAAAAAAAGGTA